TAGACCCACTTATGCATCTAAGGGGTAATGAAATCTGTCAAACAGATTGACATTCGCAAGTAAGTACATACTCTACATACTCTTGAACTCTTGAGCGCAAGAAACATGTTTTGATATAAAACAGAGAAAAACCAAAAACTCTCATGTTGGAGGTGGTGCTTGATATCCCAAATGATCCTCAACCCTACCTTTTTATCCTCACAGGTCAATTTTGTCCATCTAGCACACAAAATATATAATATAATGTGAGTATCTTTAATGTTCAAACAAGCTACCTATCAGTGATTGTATTGTCATTTCTTGGAGCACATAACTGGGCAGATGACAAAAAACAAATATGTGTAATTAATTACATTAGGAATAGACTGATGGACAGCCCCATATTTCCATTGGTAGTCAGTGGAACTAAAAACAGCTATACAATGTCAAGGAAGGAAATTAATGAATACAACATATATTCAGCTATTGCCATTTCTTATTGTTAATGTAGTTGCTGTAGATTAATTCATGACACAGCTTGCACTGCACACATAAACCCACTAGAGGGCAGACACTCATCATATTACCATACTGTAATCTGTGTTCTCTATTATGGACAGCCTGAAGTACAGTAATGTGTTGTTATTATACTGTATTGTAATTTAACACAGGATAAATATAAGATATCATTAAGCACACCACTTTACAAGATGTGACAGAGATATATACTGCATTATGTCACACTATTCTAAAGAGCATACTTTAAATATACTTGACATAAATGTTTATTACATACCATATCAATCTTTTTATAATGCTGTGAGTTATATGCAGTAGATCAGAAATAAGTTAAAAATCTTATCTGAGAAAATCTGATAATCTGTTATCTGAGACAACCAACATTAGTATGAATCTGGTGATTTGTGCTATTAAAAACCTTAAGTGGTAAATTGATCCAATAATCACCCTGCTATGTGACCAATGTTCATCTTGGTTTGATGTCGGTAGAAATAAGTTCTTAAATATAATACTCAACCTACAAGAAACCAGGAGTTTAGAAAAGAGTTTAAAGAGTCGGTTATGGTTGAATAGGCCATGGTTTTCAGATTTTTATTTGTCTAACAAAAGTAAATACATGTAGCTTTATTATTACTCTCACAAAAGGACTGAAGTGATGTGGTGCTGCAGTTTAATTTGGTTGCAGTTTTTTTAAGATAGTTTGAAAATATTAAAAATAACAGAGCTTTTCTTCACACTTTTAAGCAGTTCAGATGTATTCAACTTTTGAAATTGAATTTAAAAAAAGGGTTGCATGTTAGTTACATATCACAAGTTGTATTATATTTTTTCCACTTCTGACATTTTCAAAGTACACAAAATAACTGGAAACATGTCACATAGAATGCAGGGGACACAGCTGTACTGCTGCATAAAAGCACAGATCTACAGTAATGTTTGGCTTCTCACACCATCTGCTGTGGGGGCACGAGCACCAGAGGAGTGTATTTTCCCAACATGCTCCTCAAACAATTACATTTGAAGATGTGTGCTTAGCAATTCACCTGTTTTTGGCATGTAGTCAGTAATGTAATGCGTACAAACTCATTTGCAGTCGTACATCCGGGGAATAACTTTGACCTGTAGGTAGTGTAACTAGTGTGTAAACCATCACAGAAAAATATTCGCAGATATTGTACATGACCACAGAATGATCAGTTTTAGTGTGTTCATTATAAATGTTACGTTTTTAAAATAAGTCTGATTAAAAAATAAAGATGTGAAACTGTCTGCAACCTCAGCTATGTAATTGAATAATTTACTTACTTACTGAGTTTGGCTGAGACATTCAACCAGCTTTTCTTAAGTCAGAAAATCTTACCTGCTCAGACCCCTGTGATTGAATTAACATCCTCCAAAGTGCTGCACAAATCAGAGACAACACTAATTGCTTATTCAGTGTAACATCTGCTTTAACAGTTAGTTCCCATGAATAATCAAATTGCAAAGACTGTTTGGTTGCATGAAGAGATTTGTACAGAGATTGTTGTTCCATAATTATGTCCCTGCATTACATATATATACATACAGTATAACTTAACACTTTCATGAGGCATGGCGCACTATAAAACTTGAATAATTTACAACAAATTGTAGAAAGCGAATAAACATTGCAGTGTGATAACTTTACGTATTTTGCATTGTTTGTTCCCTGAGAATGGATTTATTAATAAACATGACACAATAAACCATAACAAACAAACCTTTACTGTTTAAACTTCATCCTGAAATCTTTAAAAGGTAAAAACAAGCTGTAAAGTAACAATTCATATTGGATTTCACAAAACCATAGAAAAACAGAAAATAAATGGATCAAGTTTGAAACATCAATGCTGTGTGCCAATTTTTTTTTTTTTTTACCAGTGACAGGGCTTTGGCTTTTCCTTTCCCAAAATAAATAATTATTTATTCATTGGTCATTTTATCAATTCTCCAACGTTTTAGTTAACACACAGTTCAGACTCTTTACTCACTGCATAAACATATTGGTCCTAAATTATTTAAGTTTTTTTTTAACCCTTTTTGATTTGTTGTGTATCAATTTTAGTTTTTCTTACCAGTGCCAGGGCTCTGATTTTGATCTCTTTGGTTTTCAAAGAATATACAATTGGATTGATACAGGGTGGGAGGCAAGAGGCCAGAGACAGACT